AACCAAGAATTCTTTAGCCCGCAGAAATGTCCTTAGGAATGACAGATCAAGATATTATCAGATGAAGGAAAACTAAGAGAATGTGTTACCAGCAGACTTACCTTGAAAGAATGGCTAAAGAAAATTCTTACAACAGAAGGGCAATGATACAAGAAGGAATCTTGGAACCTCAGAAAGGAAGACAACAATAAAAGGAGCAAAAATATCAGTAAATAGACTTTAGTTTTCCTCTCAAGTTTACTAAATGGTGCTTGATGGCTGAAGTATAAATTACAACATTGAGGTGATTCCCTATATAAAGAGGAAATATTTATTTAACATTTAATGTCATAAGTGGGGAGAATAAAGGGATTAAAAGGAGGTAAGGACTTTACATTTTACTGAAATTGGTAAGAGAAATAAACAAAATGTGGTACATAGGCACAAGTGACCATTATTCAGCCATAGAAAGGAATAAAGTACTACTAAGTGTTATAACATGGACAAATGAACCTTAAAAACATTATGCCAAGTGAAAGAAGCCAGGCATAAAAGGCCAGGCCGCATAGTGCATATGATTCTATTTATTGAAATATACAGAATACACAAATTTATACAGATGAAATTAAATTTGTGGTTGCTTAGGGCTGGGGTGGGGAGAGCAGACTGAGGAGTGGGCAAAGGAGTTCTTTTTGGGGTGATGAAAATACTCTCGTTAGATTGCTGGGCGCAGTGGTTCCCGTCTGTAATCCCAGCACTTTGGGAGGCCAAGGTGGGCAGATCTATTGAGCTCTGGAGTTCAAGACCAGCCTGGGTAACACAGCGAAAGCCCCATCTCTACAAAAAATACGAAAATCAGCCGGGCATGGTGGCACGTGCCTGTAGTCCCAGCTACTTGAGGGGTTGAGGCAGGGAGGACCATTTGAGTTCGAGAGGTTGAGGCTGTAGTAAGCCAAGATCCTATCACTGCACTCCAGCCTGGGTGACAGAGCGAGACCCTGTCTCAAAAAAAAAAAAAATTATTAAATAAAAAAATAAAGCTAGATTGCAGTGATGTTCATACAGCTCTGTGAATATACTAAAAACTGCTGAACTGTATACTTCAAATGTGTGGGTTTTATTGTATGTGAATTACATCTGAATAAAGCTGTTTTTTAAAAACAGATCACAGATTTAAATGTCAAACATGAAATTAAACAACTTTAAAAATAAAACACAGGAGAACGTCTTTGGGAGGAGGGCTTGTGAAGAGTTCTTAGACATGGCACCAAAAGCATGATCCAAAAAATGTTTTTAAATCAATAAACTAGACTTCAAAATTAAACATGTTTGCTCTAACAAAGACCTTAAGAGGACAAAAGGACAAATTACAACCTGGGAGGAAATATTTGCAAACCACACATCTGACAAAGAACTCATACCTAGAGTATGTAAGGAATTCTCAAAACTCAAGTTTTTTAAAAAAGCAATCCATTTGGAAAATGAGCAAAGAATGTGAAGAGACATTTCACCATAAAGGACATGTACATGACAAATAAGCACATGACAAGATCATTATCTATCAGGGAAATGCAGCCTCCCCTAGGCCTTAGTCATTTTTTGCTCTTCTTCGGAAAAGGCAAAGACAGAGACCTATGAGTCAGAGCTGGGGGCAGGAAGTTGTAGGGAAGGGAGAGAAGATGTTAATGGAGTCATAAGAGACACAGTCCATCTCACATCTTGGAGCTGGAAACAGGTTGACTGTGTCTTTCATATCTCCCAGAAGCACCCGCCTGAAAATGCACACCCATAAGCCAGGCAAGAGGTTGCCAGTGGAAGCCAGGGAGACTCACCTGGTTAAAGTCCCAATCTCTGCATTGGTGGCTGACATTGTACAGAGCAAGGGTTGGCAAACCTTTTCTGTAAAAGGCCACATAGTAAATACTTTAGGATGTCCAGGCCATGTGTTCTCTTTGGCAACTACTCAGCTCTGCCATTAAAGCAGTAACAGACAATATGTAAATGAATGAGTGAGACCATGTTCCAAGGAAACTTTAATGGACACCAAAATGTGAATTTTATGTAATTTTGATGTGTCACAAAATATTCTTTTTACTTTTCTCAAGCACTTGAAAGATGTAAATAGTATTCTTAGTTTGCAGGCTATAGGAAACCATAAAGGGTCAGTAAACCAGGGGCCATAATTTGCTGACCCCTGATGAGCTTAGATGAGGAGGTTCACTGTTATGCATACCATTGTCACTCAACACTTGATTTACAATGCAGTGACGTCCCTTAAATCCATAAATTTGGCCAGACTCAGTGGCTCATGCCTGTAATCCCAGCACTCTGGGAGGCCAAGGTGGGCAGATCACTTGAGGCCACAAGTTCAAGACCAGCCTGACTAAAGTGGTGAAACCCTGTCTCTATTAAAAATAAAAAAATCAGCTGGGTGGTGTGGTGGCGTGCACCTGTAGTCCCAGCTACTTCAGAGGCTGAGGCAGGAGAATTGCTTGAACCCGGGAGGCGGAGGTTGCTGTAAGCCGAGATCACACCATTGCACTTCAGCCTGGGCGACAGAGTGAGACTCCGTCTCAAAAACAAACAAACAAATCTATAAATTCTACTTCTAGGAATTTATCACAAGGAAATAATCATGGCTGCACACAACAATTTGACAGCAAAGACTGTTATCCCATCCTGGTTATAACAATGAAAAAATCTGGACACATTCAAATATCCAGTGACAGAGGAGTGGCTCAAAAATCTGAGGCCATCCGAAGAATGGCTGCTATGCGGCCATGTCAACAATCATCCTGTGATCTGGAAAGAAAGCAAATGTGGTCAAATATTAACAGTGAGTGAATCCAGGCCAGGTGTGATGGCTCACACCTGTGATCCCAACACTTTGGGAGGCCGAGTTGGGCAAATTGATTGAGCTCAGGAGTTCAAGACCAGCCTGGGCAACATGGTGAAACTCTGCTTCTACAAAAAGTACAAAATTAGCTGGGCGTGGTGGCTCATGTCTGTAGTCCCAGCTACTCAGGAGGATTAGGTGGGAGGATTGCTTAAGTCCGGGTGGCAGAGGTTGCAGTTAGCCGAGATCACACCACTGCACTCCAGTCTAAGCAAGAGAGCAAGACCCTGTCTCAAAAAAAAATTTAAAAATTAAAAATAACAATTGGCGAATCGAAGTGCAGGATATATGAGTGTTCACTGTCAACTTTTCTGTAGGTTTGAAATGTAAAAATAAAGTTGGAAATATATTTGTAAGTAAAAAATGTTTTTTTGTGAAATGTAAATTAATAGACTTACAGACTCATCTCCAGCCCATCAGAAGATGTTAAATAAATATAAATAAAGTTATTCTCTGTTAAATAAATATAAGTATCTTCTCTCTTTTCATAGAAAGTAGTATAGATTAACTAGGTAATATTTATCTACCTAGTATCTATTCCAATCACACTCAATGTAATTTAAACTATATGTAACATGAGATTTACAGACAGAAAAACAAATAATCTTGATGTTCTCTTTTTACCGTTATCTTGTTCTAAGGGCAAAGAAAAGCTTAACTTGGCCAGGTGTGCTGGCTCATGCCTGTAATCCCGGCCCTTTGGGAGGCCGAGGCAGGCAAATCACTTAGACCTAGGAGTTTGAGACCAGACTGGATAACATAATTAGACCCCATCTCTATGAAAAATAAAAAAAGTTAGCCAGGCCTGGTGGTATGCACCTGTAGCCCTAACACTCAGGAGGCTGAGGTGGGAGGATTGCTTGAACCTGGGAAGTTAAGGGTGCAGTGAGCCATGATCACACCACTGCCAGGGGACAAAGACCCTGTCTCAAAAAAAAAAAAAAAAAAAAAAGGCTTAACTTACTTGGGTTTTGAGCAGTTGAACAAAAACCTTGCCTTTACATATAAAACACAAATTATCTGGGAAGATTTCCTTGGTAGGTGTGGGTGCTCTAGGCTCTACAGGTGGAAATGGCATTTGGGAATTCATCCCACGGTCTGGCTTCTTCTCCAGGCAAAGGCCCATTCTTGTTGGGTTAGAAGTTCTTGTTTGAAAATATAACCTGGGCCGGGCGCGGTGGCTCAAGCCTGTAATCCCAGCACTTTGGGAGGCCGAGGCGGGTGGATCACGAGGTCAAGAGATCGAGACCATCCTGGTCAACATGGTGAAACCCCGTCTCTACTAAAAATACAGAAAAAAATTAGCTGGGCATGGTGGCGCGTGCCTGTAATCCCAGCGACTCAGGGGGCTGAGGCAGGAGAATTGCCTGAACCCAGGAGGCGGAGGTTGCGGTGAGCCGAGATCGCGCCATTGCACTCCAGCCTGGGTAGTAAGAGGGAAACTCCGTCTCAAAAAAAAAAAAAAGAAAGAAAGAAAAGAAAATATAACCTGAAAAATAGATTCACTTTAGTGCATAAGAATAAATTCACGAAAACCTTACCATTTAAATAAAAACATAGGAACAAACTACAAGATGGCCAATCCGGCAGAGGACTTCAGCGACCCCTCTCCATTTGACTATCAAACGAGGTGATTAGACAAAGAGCGTTGTCAATTTCTGCTTGAGCCCCAGTTATGGATTGCGGGTGCAGATGAATTTTAGAAAATCTGTCTCTGTTTAAAACCTTTTAAACGCTCATACTCAGTCCCATTGCCAGGAGTGAAACCCAAACCTCCCGTGTGAAAAATCAATATCCAGGCTGACAGATCACACGGGATCTTCCTTACAGACCAAAACGATAGTCAATTCTTAGGTCCTTTTAAATACTAAACGCTTCGTTCCCTCGCTCTACCTCCACCTGTGCATCGCGCCTACCTTAGACCCCGCCAAATCCCATTAAATCCCACCCCCACCAGCCACGCAGTCTTCATAGGCTCCACGCGCCGCTTTTGCAGTCCCCCATTGGCCGGTTTATTGCCAGACCGACCCCCGCTCCCACGCCCTAGTCTTCTGTGATCTCCTCGGATTCCGTGAAGCCCCGCCCTTCTATTCTCCTCTTTGGCACATCTTCTTCCACTTAGGCCCGCCCCTCCCCACCTGGCTATTTGGTTGGCCAGCGCGCTTGCCACTTACGTCATTTACCCGCGCCACCCGGAAGCCGCGGTTCCTACCAAACGTTCTTATTGCTGGCAGCCCAGAGGTAAAGGCCGCGCTTGGGTGTCCCTGGGTGGCCGGGTCCCCGAATTGGGAGGGGCGGAAGGCTGAACCCCCAGCTTGCGCCAGACAAGCCGATGCCTAGCGTTTAGAGGGTGGAGATGAACTGTGTGTGAGGCCAAACTGGAGCGGGTCAACGTGGTCTTCCCCCTCCCGACTCCCCAGGAGCCCATCATGGCGACGCCCCCTAAGCGGCGGGCTGTGGAGGCCACGGGGGAGAAAGTGCTGCGCTACGAGTCCTTCATCAGTGATGTGTTGCAGCGGGACTTGCGGTGAGTGACAGTGCGGGGGGCGGGGCATTTGGAACATTCCACGTGGTGGGTGGGGCGTTCAGAGTTAGGGCCAAGCCTTTGGATTGGTGGGCGAGGCGTTCAGAGTCCGGCCCCGCGCTCCTTGGAGCGTGCAGTGGGGGCGACATCCGGGGTGCAGTTTGGCTAGGACCTGGTGTTCATAGTAGGGGGCGTGTCCGCGCATGCGTGGCCTCCGATGTTTAACGGATTAAGGCTGGTTTTCTGGAGCCACAGTTCTCTGGTTCGAATCCTGGCTCTGCCATTCTTCATCTTTGTGAATACGTCCTACCTCGCCTTTCTGTGCCCTATAAACTTTCTTCCTCTGTGAAATAGGGAGTTTTGTGGAACCTTCCCCATGCAGTGGTTTTGAGTATTTGATGTGCTCCATTTTTGTAAAGAATTTAGCATGGATGTCTGAAACATAGTAGAGGTTCAATGAGTATGAAGAAATATTATTGCAGTCTTTTTTAATTTAAGCAGGAAGTAAGGTGTTCAGAGCTAGGACTATGAGCATCCTAAAAGGGATGGAGGATTTTTCTAGGGTGAGGATGGGACATTATGATTGGAGTTCAGCATTAGGGGTAGAGTGTAATAATAGTAATAATAGCCAACACATATGTAGAGAGTTTACCATTTGGTAGTCATTATTCTAGATGCTTTGCAGTAAATGCTCATTTAATCCTAATGACTCTACAAAGTAATACTGTCATCTGCATTTTATAAATGAGGAAACTGAGTCCCAAACAGGTTACTTACTTGCCAAAGTCGTACATCTAGTAAAGGGTAGATCCCAGATCCAAACCCAGGCAGACTGACCCTGAGCCCAAAATTTTAACTTATGCACTTAAAAAGCCTTTTGAGTGTATGGTGACGTGAGAGTCTCAGAGGGTCATGAAATGAGGTATACCAGAAGGAATGGGGCTGTCTATTGGTCACCATTGTACTTTCGTCCCATCAGAAAGGTGCTGGACCATCGAGACAAGGTATATGAGCAGCTGGCCAAATACCTTCAACTGAGAAATGTCATTGAGCGACTCCAGGTAAAGACTATGGGGTTGGATACCATTTTTTTTGGTATGTGTGGGTAAGGGAGGCAGATGGGAAGAGAGATCCCAAACCCAAACCTGTTACCTGATCAAAGAGTTCACCACTGACCCCTACCTCTTTTTCCCTGGCCCCACAGGAAGCTAAGCACTCGGAGTTATATATGCAGGTGGATTTGGGCTGTAACTTCTTCGTTGACACAGTGGTGTGAGTGTCTACCCGCCCCTCTGAGCCCACAGGGTTCAGCTTCCCCTTCCCTCATGCAACATATATTTTTTTGAGTATCTTCTATATACCAGGCATCATGCGAGATTTTCTATCCCAATAGGATATAAGCTAGATGCTGGGGATGTGACAGTGATTAAAATCGGACAAAATCCCTGCCTTCCCAGAGGCTCAATTTGGGGGAGGGTGGGAAGCAAAACATAAACTATGCTAAACAGTGATGAGGACTTCCCTCCACTTCCTCTAACCTCTCTCTCCTCAGCCCAGATACTTCACGCATCTATGTGGCCCTGGGATATGGTTTTTTCCTGGAGTTGACACTGGCAGAAGCTCTCAAGTTCATTGATCGTAAGAGCTCTCTCCTCACAGAGTAAGTTCATTCCATGAGAATAGTGTGTAAAAACACCACCATTTCCAACACTCTCCTCCCTTTCCCCATGGCTGCCTGGAATGATATTTAAGGACTCATCTCCCCTCCTCCTCAGAGCTGGGACTGAAGAAATGGGGATGCAAAGCCCATGTGTAGCACATAATAAGCATTCAAAAAATGATCTTTGTATCGTTTATTCATGTAAACATTTACTGGGCATCTTCTGTATGCCAGGCATTGCTTAGCAGTAGAAATGCAGCAGTGAACAAGACAGAAGAGTTCCTCGAAGGCTTACAATCTAGAAGGACTACACTGTTATACATAAATACAATTATGACCAGATCCATGAGGTCTCAGCCTGTTAAAATTGGTAACAAGAAAACTAGTTACCTGTGATTTCACTTGCTGCTAATTCTACTATTCATTCACCGTGTTCCTGCCACACTGACCTTCACATGCTTCTTTCAACATCCCAAGAATGATCCCACCCCAGGGCAATTGCCGTGGCTGTTCTCTCTGCCTGCACTGCTCTTTTCCCCAGTACCCACATGGCTTCCTTTCTCCTCACTCAGTTGTCTTGTTTAAATGTCACTTCCTCAACCAGGCGCTCTGTAACCTAACTTTAAAATCACAGCCCCTGGCACACTTGATTCCCCTCCTTCTACTTTTTTTTCCATAACACTTATCACGCCCTAATATTTACTGTGTAATTTATTTCTTTCTCATATTGTCTCCTCCAGTTAGAATGTAAGCATTACAAAGAGTGAGATTTGGTTTATACCCAAGGTGACTAGAGTAGTACAAGCATGTAGTAGACACTCTGTGTTTTTGTTTTTAAGAGATGGTGTCTTGCTGTGTTGCCCAAGCTGGAATGCAGTGACTATTTACAGCTGCAATCATAGCATACTATATCCTCAAACTCCTGAGCTCAAACAGTCATCTTGCCTCAGTCTACCAAGTAGCTGAGACTACGGGCACACCACTGTGCCGGGCTTTATGATTGTTGAAATAATTTAAAAGGGTATGCTAGAAGCAAATTGAAGTGGGTTATTGAAGCAGATCTGTGTTGGTGATGGGGAGAGAAAGTGTGGGCTCCAGTTGAGTTTAAGGCAGGAATGTCCAATCTTTTGGCTTCAATGGGCCACATTGGAAGAAGAATTGTCTTGGGCTACACATAAAATACACTAATGCTAATGATAGCTGATGAGCTTAAAAAAGCAAAAAAATCACATAATGTTTTAAGAAAGTTTATGAATTTGTGTTGGGCTGCATTCAAAGCCATCCTGGACCACGTGTGGCCCACAGGCTGTGGGTTAGATAAACTTGATTTACAATTTTGTGGAGGGAAGGGCAATTGGGAACATAGATGAGGGATGTGAAATGTAGCTAGGGAAGGCCTCCCAGAAAAAGCGACATTTGAATCATTTCACTGAGTGAACAAGCCATGGGGCTATCTGGGGAAGAGCATTCCTGGCAAGAGGAATATTGTGCCTGGCGTGCTAGAGAAACTGCCAAGAGAGGTGAGCTTGGTTTGGATGGCATAAGCATGGGGACACTGAGCAATACACTTAGACTGACAACATCTCACAAGTGTGAATACCCATTGAGCAAAACTTCCTTGTTGGTTATGTTTATGTCTGTTCCTACATTCATTTTTTCCAAAGTTGCCTCCCTCAGGGTTTCAGTAATTTTTATCTTTTCAAACCTTTCCAGGATTTTGGTGTTAGTGGACCCAAAAGAACCTCAGACCTGCTGAGATTTCTGATTCTTGATGTTCAGACTAATTAGCAAATAGTTTGATTAAATGGCCTACTTTCATGGTCAACACAGCTCTGAACTGGTGGTCATTTAGACCAAGTCCAGTTTGTTTGTTTGTTTGTTTGTTTGTTTTGAGATGGAATTTTGCTTTTGTCGCCCAGACTGGAGTACAATGGCATGATCTTGGCTCACTGCAACCTCTGCCACCTGGGTTCAAGGAATTCTCCTGCTTCAGCCTCCCAAGTAGCTGGGATTACAGGTGCCCACCACCACTCCTGGCTAATTTTTTTATTTTTAGTAGAAACAGTGTTTTACTTTGTTGGCCAGGCTGGTCTCGAACTCACGACCTAAGGTGATTGGCACACCTCATCAAAAGTGTACTTCCTGTTCTTAGTATATTTCTTTGTTCAGGAAGTGGAAGGGATGAAATCTCTGTATATTCTTTCCTGATGACACAGAAAGGAGTACACATCCACATCTCATGTATAGACATGTAATTATGGAAGAAACAGCATAACCATATGACTACTCACACTACCTTACATACTAAATCAGTAGTAATTTGCTTTTCCACATAGAAAATAAAAATAAATCAGTAGTAATAAACATATCCCTTTTGTGTTACAGCTAGCATTTGGTGAACTCTGCATTTTTCTTCTTTTTTAAGTGTTGAACTCATAGGTTTTCATAGGCTAAGCTTATACTATTAACTAATTTTGTTCTCATTTTTTATGTTCAAATTGTCCCTTAGGAACTGATCAGGTTCATTCTTCTGTTTTTTAAGCATTACCCCAGAATATTCTTGAAAGTATTCTTGCTCTCTGGCAACACAACCCATACTTCATTTTGTTCCTGTCCCTAAACATACACTGAACCAACTTCAGGTTCCTTGGAATGGAGTAGTCACTTATTCATTCAATATACGTTGGGTACCTGCTCTGTGCCACACATTGTTCGGGTCCCTGGGGATACAGCAGTAAACAAAAAAGACCAAAATCTGCCCTCATACAGCTGACGTTCTAGTCAGGGGAGACAAACAATAAACGAATGATGTAGTATGTCAGATGTTGACAGTGCTATGGAGAAAGCATATCGTGGAGATCAGAAGCATTACCTGCAATGGAGCAGTCGTGATTTTAAGTAGAATGGCTGACTAGATGTGAAGTGTGAAGGGGAGTCCAGGTTTTTGGCTGAGCAACTGGAAGGATGGAGTTGCCATTATCTGAGATGGAGAAGGTAGGGGAGGACTGGATTTGGAGGGGAAGGTCAGGAGTTTAGTCTGGAACCTGTTAGGTATGATATACTTATTAAACACTGAAGTGGATTTTTGGAAGATGTCATTAAAACTCCTAGTCAAGTTCAGAAGAGAGTTCTGGGCTAGAAAAAGAAATGTGGGAGATATTGGTATATAGATGGGTTCATACTACTTTTTTTTCCAATTTAGCATCCTGTCTTAATGCTGTCTACTTTTCCAACAGTATTTAGTTTCATTTACCCCTCAAACTGACTCCTACATTGACAGCACAATAAAATCCACATTCCTCATCATGATATCAAGACCCTGCATGATCTAACCCCCTCCTACCTCTTGGACCTTGTGTTATATCACCTTCCTTCACCATTCACTTAATTTCTAACACTCTGCCCTCACTGCTCCTCAAACAGCTCTTTGCTGCCTCTTGGTCTTTTTGTGGAAAAGGCCTTCCCACTGCTTAATCATTAGGCATTCTTCCATTCCTTCTCATTCTTCATTGTTTAGAAAGGCCTTCCTTGACCCTTTATATCAATTAGGATTCTTTTGGGCGAGACCTAATCCAAACTGGCTTAGAGAAAAGGAGTCAACTGACAAGTTCATGTAATTCAACCTCCTTCCTCTGCCACGATCTTCCCCTGGTTCCCATCTCACTTAAGGTCAAAGCTAGGGTCCTTACCATGACCTTGTAGGCTTCACACAATCTGCCTCCCTCATTACCCCTCTGACCTCACCTCTTACATTCCCCTTTCACTTATTCTTCTCCAGCCACAGTGGCCTCTTTGCTGCACCTCAAACATGACAGGTACACTCCCACCTCAGCGCCTTTGTGTTTGCTACCCCTTGTGTGTGGAACACATCCTCCATATACCCACACTACTCACTTCTTCACTGTCTTTAAGTCTTTATTCAAATGCTTCACAGCAAAGCCATCCCTGAGCCCTTTATTTAAAATTGCAGCCCCCCCATTCTTGTAGTTCTTAATCCTCTCATTTTTAGATTTTTTTCATTGTAATTAGAACCATCTGACACCATATCTTTTATTTCATTGGTTTTTCTGTCTGTCCCTCTTTACAAGAATTTGAACTCCATCAGGCCGGGAGTTTTGTTTGTTGTGTTTGCTGCTATCTCCCCAGTGCCTAAAATTGCCTGGCATACAGTAGGCATTTAATAATTTTTGAATCAGTGAAAACCAGATGGTGGCTTGGCATCTCTGCATAGGAGCAAGCCCTGTGGAAATCATCCAGGATATAAGTAGTTCTTGAGATGATAAGGAAGGGTCATTCTCATAATCATAAGTGGGGCCCATTTTGCCCTTTCCTGTTTCTTTTCTCTAGGCTCAGCAACAGCCTCACCAAGGACTCCATGAATATCAAAGCCCATATCCACATGTTGCTAGAGGTGAGAGCAACTCACCCCACTACCAGACTTTGTGTTTAGGGTGGTGACCTGAAGAAGGGAGAGAGTGGACGAAGGGAGGAACCATCTTTCCTTCTAAACTGGAGTCAAGGGAGGGAGATCAGAGCAAGCCTCGGGGCATAACCCAGACCCAATCTTTGATCAGTCTCTTCTGTCCTCTTTTTCAGGGGCTTAGAGAACTACAAGGCCTGCAGAATTTCCCAGAGAAGCCTCATCATTGACTTCTTCCCCCTAACCTCATACATTAAAGAGCCTGAATGCCTTTGAGTCACATGGCACTTCTTTTTCCCCATAAACTCTGCTGGTTGCCACAGGGGCCTGTTACTAGGGCGCAAAGTTACCGAGAGACCCCTGAAGTCCGTTCTCTCTGTGGAACCTCTAAAATGCCCCAGCAGTCCTGCCTCCAGCCTATTACCTGGCAGTATTTGCCAGTTGACCTTATGCACTGCCCTCTCTTCTGTCATCTTGACAACCTGGGCCCCCACCTCACCCTTCCATTCCTTTTCCTAGACACCACCCTTTGAATTGCCATAGAGAATGAGCCAATTTATGGTGGTTTGTTTATTCTCAGAGCAACCAAAGGGCCCTAAGGTTTACCCTTTCACACACCCAGTCGCTCCTCAGATACCCTAAATTACACCCACACCCACCTCAGCCCTACCTTGTCCTAGCCCCTGCTTCTAAGTGGTTCCAGCTTCCAATAGGCACAGAGCTGGATCCCGCTCTCCCTCGTCCGGCCCCTGTTCTAGGTTGAGTTCAGCCGCTGCCAATCAGCGCAGAGCCAGGTTCCTCCCCTTTTTAAGCCTGGCCGTAGTTCAGACCAGCCCTCTGAAGACATTTCATTTCTGCCACTCAATGCTCCTTCGTGTGCCTGACAGCCATACTGCCCTCCTACCTCCGCTGTGTTCTAAATTCGTCTTCTACCCAGCTCTAGGGTCTTTTCTAACCATATAGGTACACTGTCCGCCTACGCACAGCCCAGCCCAGCCCGACCCACTCCTGCCGGCTGCTACGCCCATTTCTATACAAGTCCTGCTTCCGCTGGGTAGCGTGGCGTGCGGCACCGCCCCCTTGGTGTTTTGGCAGGGGTCTAGAGTCCCTCATCCGCCAATCAGAGGAAAACAGGGCCACCCACCCCCGTCCTTGGAGGCTGTCTTCCATCAATCCCATGAAGCCAATCAGTGTGAGGCAGCCCCCCCCCGCCCCCTCCCACACCCCCTCCCACCCCGAGCCTTATCAGTTGCTCACAGTCCGTCAGTCCTTGAGCCAATCGCCGTGGAGCACCAGGAAGGCGGAACAAGCCTCCTCGGGACTCCAGGGGCCTTGAGCGTTCCATCACTTCCCCTCAGGCCAATCACGGCACAGCTCCGTGGGGAAGGTCCGGTCCCCCAGCCCCTCTAGGCCGTGCGGCCGATTAATAGCGCTTTGGCCAATCAGCGAGCGGCGGGACACTGGGCTCCTCCTCCCCTGGCCCACGTGAGCTGTAGGGAAACGCAGGGGCGGCTTCTAGGTGCTGTCGCCGCCGCCACCGCCGCCGCCACCGCCGCCGCCGCCTCGGAACCCAGGCCTGGGGGGCGGTGGGGCCACGTATGGAGCCCCCGCCCCCCGGAGCTACCAACATTGCCAACGCCACCGCCACGCTACACACAGGTGAGCTCTGGGCTTGGAGGGTGGAGGGCCCGGTCCGTGACCCCACGTATCCTTCCCGCCCCCGCTCAGAGGATGTGGCTTGGCCGGTGGCCTGCTGGTGTTCGACTCCCCGCCGCCACCACCATCACGGCTGGTGGACCTGCTTGTGGCATTGCCCACGCCCTTCGCCCCTTGTAGTGGATCTGACCGTGGCCTAACCTCCCCCTCCCGTTGTATAATGGATCGGTCTGCGTGCTTATATTTTTTCCCCACGCCAACTTAGGATGGACTCGTCCATAGGCTTTCCCCCTACCCCCACGCACCCCCCATCCACCCACACTTATAGGGAGCCAGCCTGTGGCAGTGTTCAGCCCCCTTAATAGTAGGTGTATCTGAGTGTTTGCATTTCTCCTAGCCTCAACTTTCAGGGGGAGACCCGTCCGTGGCCTTGTTTATTCTACCCCTCCTGTTCATTGTAGCGAATCAATCCGTGGCGCCGCACCCCTCCACACACATCCCTCTTTAACAGTGAGTCTGTCTGAGTTTGTATTCCTGCCTCCTCCAGTCCCCCAATGCATCAGTCCATGGCTTTTTTCAGAAACCCACCACACACACACACACACACACACACACACACACACACACACACACACACACACACACACCATCACCACCACCATTTTATAGTGGATCAGTCTTCATGTTTGGATTCACGTCCTCTTAGCTATCAGTCCATTGCCCTATCTGTCCTCCCTTTTTTGTAGACTGTCACTGTAGCCCTTGGGTTTCTCTCTTCTTTTTAATAATGAGTCAGTCAAGTGCTTTGTATATCCCTATTTTCAGTAGCTCAGTCCATAGCCTTGTCCCTCTCTGCTTTGAATCAGTCTGTGTGATGGCTTTTCTCTCCTCTCACTGTGGTGTGGTGCAGGAGTCTGTAAGGTTTTCTGCTCCCCTTCCCCTCAGACGTTGAGCCTCATAACCCCCTCCATTTGCAGTGGATCTGTTCATTGGCCTTCCTCCCCCACACCCCAGTATGCTTGCACAGTCCCCCGCATACCCTCCCCTGAGTCCAGTGCTTTGTAATTGGAGGAAGGTCTGCCGTGTACTTTGAATTTCCTTCTTTTTTTCCCTTCCCAGAGGAGAACGTGCTGATCCTCTTTTCCTTCTGGTGGAGAAATGTATGGCCTTTCCTGTCCCCCACCTCTTAATATAGTGGGTCAGCCTGATCACACTTGTAACCACAAAGACGTTCTGCCTCACTACAATAAGTGAACACATGAGCGCCAGTGATGATTGTAATGCCAATAGGAGCTAGCGTTTATTAAGCACCTGCTGTGTATCAGAGTGTGTCGTATGAATGAGTTTCTTTAATCCTCACCACAACCCCATGAGATAGGTACTGAGGGAGCTGGGCCATAGGGAGGTTAAATTCCTTACTCAAAGGTGGCCCAGGAAGTACTCAGGGCACAGGATAATTTTTGAGGCTCCCCTCTTAGACCCCATCCCACCCCACATGAGGCCTTAGTCCTTAAAAACCAAATTAGTTCCCATCTCCAAGCTTTTGTTCTTGCTGCTCCCTCTGCCTGCAGAGCTGTCTCCATTACCCACCTTGTCTCAGCACCCACCCACCCCCCAATCCCAGCAGCTCTGTGACCTTAGATGAGTGATTTAACCACTTCCTCTCTGCACCTTTTTCTTCATTTGTGAAATGGGGGATCAGAACTAGAATCCCCTCCAGTGTAAATAAATATTACCTGTGAAATAATGGTAAAACAAGTAACCTTTCTAGCATTACTGCCTATACCTCCCCGCCCCCTGACTGTGCTCCAACCACACCGCCTCTACCGCACAGCTCCTGAAGCAGCAGCCATGGACCAGCCTCAGGCCCTTTGCATTGGCTGTTCTTTGTGCCTTGAACACCGCTCCCAGATCTCTGCATGATTCCTTTCAGCACTTTGTTCAAATACCAACCCCCAAAAGTTGTTTACCACACTGTGGTGCTTGGAATGCAATACAAAAAGATACATGTATCAAAGATGTTTCTAAGAATGCTAGTTTGTATATGAACAAGGATTTTCCTCCTTTTCGAAAGGCTGTGTTTACAAAACTGTGAGGTGTGTAATATGCTCTGTAATGGCACGGGTATAAAAGCTGTTTCTAGGAGTGCTGGTTGCATATGTGAATAAGGACTGTGTTGCATTGAAAGAATGTGTTCACAAAACTGTGGTGTGTGGCCAGGCACGGGCGTGTGCACCTGTAGTCCCAGCTACTTGGACTGCAGCTGAGGTAGAAGGATCACTGGAGCCCAGGAGTTCGAAGCCAGCCTGGGCAAAACAAAATCACTGTGGTGTGCGTAATACACTCTCCTAAAGGCACAGGCATAAAAGATGTTTCTAAGAGTGATTTGATTTTGTCGCACCTGGGTAGTGTTAGTTCAGTAAAGATTGATTGTCATGCCATGGTGCTTGGAAAATACTATACAAAGGCACATGTATTAAAAAAAAAAAAAAAACAAAAACAAAAAAAAAAACGGTTCCTAACAATGCTACTTGCAAAAACAAAAAAAAAAATCAACCCCTCCCTGACCATCTGAAGCTGCATACCCAGCAGGGCTCAAGCCAGGTCCCTGCTTTGTCTCTTTATCACTGTGACACACTGTGTGGGTTTCTTGTTTGTGTCTGTCTCTCCGCATTAGAATGTGAGTCCCATGAGGACTCAGTTTTTGTCTGCTCATTCACTGCAACGTCTCCAGCACCTGAAGATGTACCAGGTAAACAGCAGATGTTCAATAAGAATTTATCCCATGAATAAATGAGAAAAGGATCATTTCAGACACCAGCATAGGGGTCAGATGGGGAAGAAGGGATACGAAGGCTAGTTGGTTGGGACCGTTCCTGCAGCCAACCTTTACTGAGCCCCTTGTGAGTGCGAGGCGCTCTTCTAGGTGCTGGAATATGGCAAGGAACGAAACAGGCAGAAATATCTGTGCTTGTGGAGCTGACATTTATTAAAAGTTGGGGAGGCTGGGCACAGTGGCTCACGCCTGTAATCTTAGCACTTTGGGAGGCCAAGGCGGGTGATTGCCTGAGCTCAGGAGTTCCAGACCAGCCTGGGCAACACGGTGAAACACCATCTCTACCAACACACAAAAAAATTAGCTGGGTGTGGCAGCATGAGTCTGTAATCCCAGTTGCTTGGGAGGCAGAGGTAGGAAAATTACTTGAACCCGGGAGGCGGAGGTTGCAGTGAGCCGAGATTGCACCATTGCACTCCAGCCCTGGCAACAGACTCAAAAAAAAAAAAAAGAAAGTTGGAGAGACAGACTATATGAACAAAATAAATCAGTAAAATTAGTGTAATAGACAAATGCTGAGAGGAAAGAATGAAATAGGGCAGGTGGGAATCGAGTAGTGAGGGTGGTTAAAATCTTAGGCACAGGGCAGGCCACACTTGGAAGGTGACTTTTGAATTAGAGCCTCAAGGTAGAGAGGGAGAGAGCCATAATGTCTAGGGGAAGAGCATACCGGGCAGAAGGAAATGCCAGTGCAGAGGCCAAGGTGGGATCGTGCCTGCCATGTTTAAGGAACATCAAGGCGGCCAGTGTGGCTGGAGCAGAGTGTGGGGAGGGGTAGAAGGTG